TATGGAATGTCTTCGTCAAAAATTCTGTAACAGAAGGGAGCTCTGGTGGCCTAGTAGCAAGAAGCCACACTGCAATCCCAGAGGTACACAGTTCAAATCCACCAGATGCTCTGCTGGAGAAGGAAGGGCAATCTCCTCCTGTACCAGTCAGATCCGATTTGACAGTATACACACACATATTAAAAAAAAATTCTATAAAGAATCCCTATCAAGAGGGGGGAAATACAGAACAGAATTTCAAATTCTCATGAAATTTAGATTTTCTAAAGTCATGGAAGGTGGGTGAGTGAATACTCTAAGAGAAACTTTTTTCCCTGAGATAAACTTTAAAATAAGTCTGTGTAAAAACAAAGAGTTGAAAAAAAAACCAAATAGTTGAGCTTAATAAGAAAGAGTATCTGTCTTATGCATTATGCAATTCAAAGGTAGTTATATCGAGCAAAATAATAACAGCAACTCACGATTAAATAGGAACCTTAGATAGCAGAGAGTTTCTGTTAATGGAAAAGGAATAATTCAGAAGAAAGTGAAAAAGGTTGTATAACTCAGAGAAGATAATCAATGTTGCTAAATTGTACTTGCAGAACTATTAGATTTAGGTATGTTTTGCTTATATATTCTCTATAACAATAAATATAAGCCTATAAAGAAATTCAAGTCATCTTAAAAAAACCCCGATCGCTTCTCAGTGTTTTGGATAAAGCCTAATGTTCTATTTGTTTCTGTCAGTTTAACATCTGATACGTTCTCTACTCAAAAACAACATATTAAATTGATTTTTAAAATTAAAAGACCGGGAAAAAAATTTTAAAAAAAAACCCCACAGATGAACTGGCCCCCAAGCCATATAGACCTGAGTTGAATTCCAGGTCCACCATTTACCTGCTGAGTAAAAGCTATTAATTTAACATCTCTAGCAGAGGGTCAAGGACTGCAGCCTTCAATATGGACTGAGGCTCAATGTCAAGAAGACAAAAATTCTCACCACTAAACAATCAGTAGCATCAGGATGGATGGTGAAGAGATTAAGATTGTTCACAGCTTCAGTTTGCTTGGCTCCACGGTCAACACTCTTGGCACCAGTAGCCAGGAAACCAAAAAACGTATTGCGATGGGAAAGTCTGCGGTTAGGGACCTCTCTAAAGTACTCAAGAGCAACGGTGTCTCTCTGGAGACTAAGGTGCGCCTGATACAGGCCATGGTTTTTGCAATCACTTGTTATGCATCAGAGAGTTGGACAATGACTAGGGAGGATAGAAGGAGAATTGACGCCTTTGAGCTGTGGTGCTGGAGAAGAGTATTGAATGTACCATGGACTGCCAAGAAAACAAATAGATTCATCCTAGAGAGAGTTAAACCAGTCTGCTCCTTGGAGGCAAGGATTCTGGGGCTTCGCCTGACATACTTTGGACATGCTGTAAGGAGACAGGTCTTTAGAGAGGGACATCATGCTGGGCAGAGTAGAGGGGCAGCGCAGGAGGGGAAGACCCTCTATGAGGTGGATTGATTCAGTGACTGGGGTAATCGGGACGGGTGTGTCAGAGGCAATGAGATTGGCACAGGATAGAGCAGAGTTTAGGGCTGTTGTACATAGGGTCGCTATGAGTCGTAAACGACTCGACGGCACATAACAACAACAACAACAACAAGCCTCAAGCTTCATAAGTAAAACAGGGACAATAATAATACGATGACCTCAGGGCGTACGGTAAAAAATAAACAATTAATGTGAAGTATTTAGCACAGTATATGGCATATGGTAAACTGCTCAATTTAAATAAAAAAAAACTTGATGCTATTATTATTAGAGAGAGCTTTGGTGCTCCAGTGGGTTAAGGAGTTTTGCTGCCAAGCCAAAAGCCAGCAGTTCGAATCCACCAGCTGCTCTGAGGGAGAAAGATGAATAATCTCCTCTCGTGTGTGATTTACACTGTCTGAAAACCCCCTAACGGATCAGATATGAGTCAGTTCTGACTTGATGGCACATAACAACACTACTATTAGTATCTGAAAAAAAAAATAGGGTAAATAGTTGACATAAGGTGAATGTGTCTGGAAAAAGCCCACAACTATGGTCAGAAAAAGGACAAGTGAAAGACTGTTGTCAAAATGATCTAGCCTCAACTTTTAAAATCTTTTAAACTGCATTTTGGGTGAAAGCTTACAGAACATATTAGTTTCCCATTCAACCATGCATACACATTTTGTTTTCTGGCAACAGTTAAAATTCCCTCAGTTTGAGAGCATTCTCTCCCACTTCCTTCTTGTGCTCCTTGTTTCCATTTTGTCCCTCTTTCTTGCCCCTTACAACCTTCTGAGCTTTATTTTTGGGTAAATGTCAAGATATGGACTACATTGAGGACCTGTATGTTATTATTGATCCCTATGGCTGGGTTCAGGGAGCACTGGTAGCCTAGTGGCAAGAAGCTGCGCTTCAGTCCTGAAGTCACGCAGTTCAAATCCACTAGCTGCTCCACAGGAGAAGGATGGGCAATCTCCTCCTGTGAGATTAACTGCCTGTGAACCACTGGAGGGTCAGATATGGGTCAGTTCCAACTTGATGGTACAACAACCAACAACAACAGGAGTGGGTTCAGTTCAGGTTTAAAAGGTATCTAATGACCACAGTCTTGGAGATCTAGCCTCTCTGTTTGGGGCTACATGATAACTGCCTGGATGTGGGAACTCTACCACCAGCACCATGGTATCTCTGCATGTTTGCTTGTCCTTATGGTTTACTCTGAGGTGTTTCATCACTTATCTGTTAGTTGCTTATATTACTGTTTTGCATGTTGCTGCTCTTAATAGCTTAGATGTATTTATGTTTGCTCGTCTGTCATATGTTCTTATGGGTACAACACTTGTCTGTCAGGTGCTATACAAAAGTAGAGCTCCTAGATTAAGACAGACTAGAAAGGACTGACCAGCCATTGCTGAAATAACAGGCCTTTGAAAACTCTATGAATGACAGAGCACAGACAATTTAGACACAGCACTGGAGGCAGAACTCTCATATTGGAAAACACTAAAAGATGAGGAAGAACAGTTGCCAATATCCACTAGTAAATGCAATGTGGAACATACTAAGTATGAATGTAGGAAAACAGGCCAATATAAAAAATATAAAAAAATGCAGTGGAATGCATAAAGATCGTGTCTGCAGAGATCTACCTACAGAGAGATCACAGTTCTTGGTCCCAGCCTATTCCTTAGTTCATCTGAGTCTTTGTATTCTCATTTATGATTAGGGAGACTTTGAAGTCCCTTCTAGCACTAATTTGACATATAGCCATTTGTTCATTCATTGGTTCAACTTGGTCACTCAAAATACATTCACATGCTGGTACCTCCAGCATGCCCAGAAAACAAGAGTCTCAGAAAGCTCACACAGTAACTGAAGAGACAGCTAATAAACAATGAATCCACAAACAATTATTTAACTGTAGTTGGTCGTGGTTCATTGCTACTATAGTGCCATACTGTTGCCAGTATGGCAATACCATAGTCCTAATCATGTCTTGGAGGGGGGTGTGTGTGTCAAGAAAGTATGAATTTAAAAAATGGCATCCAATCAGTCTAATAGCTGAAGAAACAAGAATTGGTTAGGCAAGAAGTAGGAACAACCCCTAAGTATTCCTTTCTCTCCTGAAATCCTGAAATGTCTGTCCTTGCTGCTTTGGATGTCAGCAGCCAGTTCCCAAACACCTTCCCTGCAGGCCCAACAAGTGTCATCACTCTTGAAAGGGAGATTGAGTCTGGAGTGGTGTTTACCAGAAGAATTCACTATCATCAAAGGAGCCCCACTGGCACAAAGGTTAAGCACACAGCCGCTAACTGAAAGGTTAGCAGTTCAAATCCCCCTAGCAGCTCAGAAGGAGAAAGAATCTGACCATTTGTTCCTATAATTACAACCCAGAAAAACCCTACAGTGCAGTTCTGTCAAATGGGGTCACTCTGAGTCAAAACTGATTTGATCATCTTAACAAGAAGTGTATGAATATAAGGTGTTAAGAGTGGATGAGGGGTGGGCAAGAAGCCATGCATACTCAGTAACTTCTCCCCTCTGGGTTCACAGTCTGGCAGAAGACAGACATACAGAAACAAATGGGTTACACCACTTGTTACCTTATCATCAGTGATAAGGACTACTCCAGGGATGTATTCTACTCTTACACTTTGTGCAAATGTAGAGAAAGTGTGCTTTAGCTCCTGCAATTGTTTATAAAACAGGAAAATCTATCCTCCTTCTTCCTGTTACTCAATCAAGGCCTAGAGAGATGGATGGTCCAGGTATGAAAAGTACTTGGTTGGCTCTCTTCAGAGGTGATGAGGATCAGAAGGACCCAGAAAAATCAGAATCTGTAGTTCATTCCAAATCCTTAATCTCTTCTTGCAAAAAGCCATAAGATCCACCCACAATTAGAGAGCTCCGTTTCTTTACTTCTTTGCCCTGATAGTTTACAGAGAATAAGGGAGGAAGCAGAACAAATAAGGGATGCCAACTTCCAGACAGGACAGTGCACAACACAGACCTGTCTCCTCCAACAACCATCCCACTGAGCACATCCTAAACTTCATGGATGCAGCCTGGACTGCTTCAGCTCCCTGTGCCTCCTAGTGCTTTCTCTACCTGCCATTTATTGCTTTTTTACAGCTGAGTGTGGAGCAGTACTGAACTCTGCTCAGGACTGTCATTCAGGAGTGTGGGCCCAGCCCTTGTCAAGTGAAGGACACCAGCCACTCCCAGAGCTCAAATCACTTAGCACACATAAGCTTTTCCCCTTCTCTCAACACTCAAAGTTGGTAAACAAATGAAATCCTGTTTGAGGGCTATTTGGGTGGGCTGTCCAGGCCTCTCCTAGGCTGTGGAAGTGAAATCAGTGCCTCCCCCACCCCCTCATTCCCCAGAACTGCCTGGAATCTATCACCTCAGAAACCAACAAAGACTCCTGGAGCTACGGCCTGCTCCACACCTAGAGAGCTAAGCCCATACTCCTTACCTCCTCGGTGCTCTCGCCTCCACCATCCTTGCCAGAGCTACTGGGCTTGGCTGTGCCTTTGGCAAGCTTGGAGGGCTCCTGAGGAGAGAAGACAGAGGTAGGGTGAATAGATGTCAAGGGAAGAGAGCAGCTTTGGCTGGATTCTTTAGATCTTACTTGCAATTTCTCTTCTGTCCAATTAAATCCTTCAGTTAGAATCCCTGAGTACCAACCTTGTCCCTGACCCTGTGAGAAAGGGTGTGTATAAAGGGAGATTTTTGTCCCTGCAAGGAACTTCGACTCTAATTAGGAACTCATCCCATCCCTAACACACAATAAGGCCATGCATGAGTTCAGGGACTCGGACGGCCTTCAAGAGAAAACCATCATGAAATAAACTGCTCCCGTGGGCTTCTAGCTAACACAGTCAGAGGGATACCTAAGGCTTCTGCACTGGACGGGAACGAGTTATTATTCTTCCTCTAAGCATCTGGAGAGATTTAGAGGCATTTTTGGGATGGTTACAAACAGCACCCAAGGATGCTACCAAGTACAGGACTATCTCACTGAGACTCACCTAAAGGTAAGCACTTGGACCCACCAGCCACTCCAAGGGCCAAGATGGAGAAATTGCTTTTGTAATGAATTAAAGGTGTGGAAATCCTGTGGGGCAGTTCTACTCTGTCCTAGAGACACTATGAGTCAGGGTGGAGTTGAAGGCACTGGTCCCTTTGGTCCACAAGCGCTGGGACAGGGCTGGGGTGAAGCCCTGCGGTGCAACCAGGAGTGGGTGGGCACGGATCTGAAGTCTCCCTCGAGAATGCAGCAGCTGGCTCAGAGTCTCAGTCTGCCCAGCCTCTCTTCCTATGCTTCAGGCCAAAACCAGCAACTACGCGAGAACAGGATGCAGAGAATGTGAAAAAGACTTGAGGATTGAGGTCGGCCTGCAAGCTCAACATAAATGTGCCACAGCAGCTCACATGCCCAGCTCATCTATGTCTGGTTCTCACATGGGCATGGAGACCCCACTGTGTGCCTGGCACTTGGTATTGAGGACCCGAAAGTGCCCTTGTCTTTAGTGGGGCTACATCTGGAGGAAAAGGTTCATTCATGAGCACCCAATTTGGGGCAGGATAATGACGGTGGGGGTGGGGAGAATGAAACCCACACTAGGAGTGGATTCAATAGCACATCCAGGGAGCAACAGCTGCAAGCCGTCCTGGGATAGCTGACAGTGGGGGGGAGGAGAGAAGTCCTGAGGAAGGCAGCGTGAGATGGAACTTTGCAAACAAATGCTGAGCTGCCAGGTGGAACAAGAATGTAATTTTTCCATAGGACTATAGATGCCCAAGAAAGAAGCAGTAAGTTGAAGTTGTAGCAAGGCAGGCTGAGGCATCAAATGGAGAATTTTCTCACAGAGTTGCACAGAAAAGGGCTGCCTTATTGAGGCTGAAGGGCTCTCTGGTGACCTAGTGGGTAAGGAATTGTGCTGCCAACCCAAAGACAGATAGTTCAAATCTACCAATTGCTCCAAGGGAGAAAAATGGGCAATCACCTCTTATACAATTTATAGCCCTTAAAAACCTGCTGGAGGGTCTGCCATGAGTCGGTTCTGATTTTATGGCAATAAGTTTGAGTTTGTGAGGTTGAGAGCTCCCAGTCCCTGGGAGCCTTCAAGTAGAGGCTGCGTGTCCTCCCCCAAGGAGTGGTGAGAAAATCCATTGGAAATCACTTCTACAATGCAATAGCACCAAAGCACCTTCAGTTAAAAGTGATACATCAAGCAATTCTGACTATGAGGGCAAAAGGATTTCAGGGAGAAGAGAGCTCTGTGTGGGCTGAAAGGGGGGGAGGGGTTGGGGGTGGGATAAAAGCCATTCCCAGTCAGGAGAGAGCAGCTCACTGCAGTCACCCAAGAGGGAAGGAGTTCCTTCTTCGAGCTGAGCACTCTTTCATGGCTTACCAACCAGGCTGGCTGTGCTGGAGCCACAGTCATGTGCCAGGAGAGGCTCTGGGCACAGGGCAGAGAGGAAAAGGATGGGGCGGACGGAAGCAGAGCAGATCACTGAGATGACTTAGTGGACTTCAGACATAGGTCCCTCCAACAGGACTGACCCATCTTCATACACGTCTGATCTCTCCACTTGATCATAAGCTCCTTATTCTCTTTTGCACCCCTACATCAACCATATAGCACTTAGCACAATGTCTCAGATGTCTCTTTCAGGGTATGTACCCAAGAGAGATCCCAGTTGCCTTTATGTGTGTTTGCTGGGTGTGTGTGTGGGTTTGTGTTTGTGGGAGGAACCAGGCCCACCACCTTTTCTCCCTGGCTGCTGCACAACAGGTGTATGCACACACTTCAGCCCAGCCAGCATTCAGGGGCTGCACGGCATGTGGTTACAATAGGCTCTGGAGTCAGCCCTGTGTTGTAGGTCCAGCTCTGACTAACTGTATAACCATAGGCAAGCTAACTACTCTTTCCGAGTCTCAGTTTCCCCATCACTTCCACCACAATCATAGCATATAGCCCTAGGCACAGTGTCTGGCAAATGAAAACTCTAAATGTTAGTCACTATGATTGCTATTCTTATGAAGAAGAAAGTGGAATGAAACAGGGACACCCCAGCCAGGACCAAAGAAAGAAATATTCCAGGTCAGTACACATGGGAAGGGAAGGGATATGAGAAAACTGCACTCAGAATTTATCCACTGAGAACCTACTTACTATGTATAAGGTAAACCTTAGTTACTGTCTCAGAGAAGAAAAGACTTGGCCACAACTAACCCTAATCCAAAGCTGAACGCAAAAGGGCCATAAGTGGACTATCAAATGTCCTGAAAATCCTGAGGAGAAGGAGGGAGAGCTTCAGAGAGAAGGCCATGAACGATGGACCAGCAGAGACAAAGGAGAAAAGGGGAGAGGGGGAGACAGGGATGAGCAATGAAGATCCTCCACCTACCTGCTTTCTCTCTCTACCCCCACCCCACTCCATCCAGGCAACACTCAGTCACATTGTCACCTCCCTCCCCCTCAGAACATGCAAACCCCTGAGTATCAAATTCAACCAAAAATCAAGAGTAGAAAGTTAAACTTGAAAAGGGGTCAGAGTTATGCACCCTAATCCCAACCAAATACTTAAACCTATAATCCTCACAAGTCTAATTCAGGCTTTTTTTTTTCTTTCTTCTCAAATCATCTAACAGGCAATGGCTTTCTGTGATGGGATGGTATCTGTCTTATTAGAATAAAAGCTGCAGATGGAAACTCCATCCCTCACCCCTGCAAAGAGCCACTAGTGTGGTCAACCTGGCATCTACAGCTAGGCTGCCTAAGCCATTGGTATGCCCACTCCTCAAGGCAGGCCCTGAGTGGGTCACACCATGCTGTGCAGCACAACATTCCGGGAGATTCAGTAACCAGCACACCATCACCACTGAACGCACAACCATACTCTCAGAACCTTGGGCCCTGAGTGGTTGCAGGGACAACCCAGAATCAAGGCTGACAAGCAATCTCCAGCAGCCTCGGGATAAAGAGTTTGATTGATAAGGCTGGAGAAGCCCAGCAACCCACACAATCAGAGGGCAAATGAAAGCTATCCACTTCTGGAGTCACAAAGCAGGTGCCCAGCACACAAGGTAAGAGCCAGCCTGTACCACTAAGGGCCAGCCCCAGGAGAAGAGAAGCTGGGGGAGGCTGGAACTGGTATCCTAGCATCCTCGGTGTGAGTCTGTACCTCAAAGGAAACACACCTCTGAGTCAGATCTCCGCAACAGCAGGAAAGAGAGTAGAAAAAGGCAAAGATGAGAAACAGAGGAAGGTGGAATGGAGATACTAGGAGGATGAAGAAGGCAACGCCAAGAAAGGGCTTGTTGTAAGGACATCATGACAAAGACACGATGCCAGGGGTGGCTGTTCTGTGGGGTAAGAAGGAAAACTCATTTGACAGTGAAGATAAATTCCTATTTGAGCACCTTGTGGCCCGGAAAGTCAGCAATTAAGCCCTGGTGCAAAAAGGAATAAAAATGCAAATCTTTATTCCTGGGGTTAGAAATAAGGGGAGGAGCTTGAGCAGATTAGTTAGGGTGACTGGTCTAAGATGAACCTGGGAGCCAGGTGATGGCGCCTGCCAGTTTTCTGAGCTTTGGTACATTAGAGGCCCTCAAGTCAGGAGACCTGATATTGCAGCTCTATCTACCTCCAGCAGACTGTGTGACCTTGGACAAGTCTCTTGCCCCGTCCAGGCCTCTGAATCACTAGGGGTTGGACTGCAGGCGTTCAGAGGTCCCTTCCTGCCCTGACGTTCTGAGGTTCCATCAACAGAAGGCAGGGCTCCGTCCTGGCGTACAAGTTTGTGTGTGAAGGAAGAACTGGAGGGAGGGGCCTAGTCCAGATTTGGGTGGAGAAGACAGAAAGCAGCACAGTCCTAGGTCAGGGGGCTGGTGCAGCGAGAGAGAAAGAGCAGTAGAGATGGGTAGGGGCTGGCCAGGGAGGAGGGGGCAGTTATGGAGGGAGGTGATGTCTTGGATGAAAGAGCTGTCCCAAATGGGTTGAGAGGCTGGAAGAAGGGGCGGGAGACGAGGGGACAAGGAAAGGGGGAGAAGCAGGGGAGTGACCTGGGAGTGGACAGATCTGGAGGGAAGAGGTTTCCCTAGGCCGGGGGTAGAAGAGAGAAGAAGAGAGAAAGGTGTATGTGGAAGCAATCTGTCCCAGCAAGGTGGGAAAGCTGTCCCAACTGCAGCACAGACTAGGGGTGCTACCCGCCATGGGGGTGGAGAGCTGGCCCTGAGAGTCCTGCGGGGGGCTGGACGGGAGGGTCAGTCTGGTGGGGCTGTCCCGGGCCTGGCGCGGGCCCCTCCCAAAGCTCAGTGCAGGCCCCAGGGCGGAGGCGCGGGGGAAAGGGCCACGCTCACCTTCTCCTTCTTCAGTTTATAGGGCATCTCGGCCCGTCCGGACCCGGTCCGGCTCCTGCAGTCCCGCTCCGGCTCCGGCTTTGCTCGGCCGCACTCGGCCCGCTTCGGCGTCTTTTTGCCTCCGCCTGCGCGCTGCGCCCGGTCGAGCTGTGCCTGTGCCTCCAATTGGCCCGAACTCTTATAACCTGCCTGACAACCCGGTGCCGCCTCCTCGGATTGGTCATTGGAGCCAAGCTGCTTCCTTTTTTTCTCATTGGAAAGAAAGAGTACAAACCGCCAGGGTTCAGCTCCGAGAATTGGCTGAAGTGGAAGGACCCGCCCTAAAGTGGGTCGAGCTTAGTGAAGGGGACGGGGGTAGAGGGAAACCCGAGCTTGACTTGGAGTGCTGCGCTCCTGCATTGGCCTTGGTCATTCTTTGCAGCTCTGGGAGTTACTGTTTATTGCCTTCTAAAGTGCCTCTCTTTCCTCACTGTGCGACCCTGCCCAATCCATATTAAAGGAAAATCAAATATTCAAACTCGCTGCTGTGGAATCTATTACAGTTCATAGCGACTATAAGGACAAGCTAGAACTGCCCCATGGTTTCCAGAACTGTAAAACCTGGAAGGAAGCTGACTGCCACATCTGAATGCTGATGAGCCGCTAATAGCTTTGAACAGTTGATCTTTTGGTTAGCAGGCAAGTGCTAAACATTGTATTCCCAGGGCTTCTGAAAGAAAGAGGTAGAGGGAAACTCTAAATTAAAAACCTCCTTTCTGCATCAGGGTAGTAGTGTAACACTAACAACTCCCTTGGTACCAGCAGTCAGAAAACCGAAAGATGAGTTGCACTAGAAAAACCTATTGTTAGGGATCCCGCCAGAATGCTAAAGAGCAATGATGTTAGTCTAAAGGCTAAGGTGCACCTGAACCAATTCACCTGCATTGCGCTGTACAAAGCACACATTGCTAGGTCACACATTTACAATAATTAATAATATATTTGCACTCAGTCAATGGTATTGGCTCATGGTAATTCACTCTTTGGACCTTCTACTCTCTTTTCACTTCTCCTTTCTTCCACAGCTCTAACCTTTGGTAGAGTCAGAAGAATTCCCTGATCCTAATGTTAGGATAGCACATGGACTGCCAAAGAACAAAAACAAACAAATTTGTTACTCAGCATGCTTCTTAGAGGACAGGATAGTAAAACTTTGTCCCACATGCTTTGGGCATGTTGTCAGGAAGGTCCAGTCTTCTGGAAAAGACATCATGCTGGGAAAGTTGCCATTCCTTAGTACTAAATTCTATGTGACAGTTCCTTGTCTTCTGGAGGGATTAAAAACCGGAAAGGGTAAACATAGCCAAAGGCCCTTAACTAGCACAGTTTTCACTGGTGTACTAAATCTAGAGGTTAGTAGTTTGAACCCACCCAGCAGGACCATAGGAGAAAGGACTAGAAATCTGTTTCCATAAAGATTACAACAACCCTCCTATGGAACAGCATTTTCTTTCAAGAGACTGGGAGTCTCCCAATGGTGCAAACCATTAATGTGCTGCTCCCTTCAAAAGCTGGCAGTTTCAGTGTATCCAGAGGCACCTCAGAAGGTCTGGTAAATTACTTCTGAAAATTCAGCCATTGACAGCAAAGTTCTACTTTCATACACATAGGCTGCAGGAGTCCACTCCAAAGCAGTTGGTTACTTATGTCTATAAGGGTCCCAACCCCAGGAAGAATAGTATCAATTATAATCCAGTTGATTTCAACTGATGGAAACCTGAGTGTTACAGTGTAGAACCTGCTCCACAGGATGATTGTCACAACTATAATCTTTACAGAAACAGATTGTCAGGGCTCTCTTCTCTTGACCTTCTAGGTAGGTTCAAACCATCAATGTCTAGATTAATACACCAGTTCAAACTATTTGTGTTACACAGGGGCCTTCTGACTGTATTTATCCTTCCTATGGAACTCAAGGATCTCTGATGTGTGGTGGGTTATGTGAGGAGCTGTTAAACCAGGAGGTGGGCAGCTCAAAGGCACCACATGAGCAAGATGAGAGTCTACTTCCACAAAGATTTATAGCCTCAGATATACAATGGAGGCTCGCCACAAATAACAACTCAGTAACAGTGAGTTTTGTTTGGGTTCTTTTGTAAGATCCCAAAGAGCATTACAGTCCCAAATCTTTGAGCTTGTTGTTATGTGCCATCAAGTCACTTGTGACTCATAGTGACCCTATATTCAACAGCTCTGAACTCTGCTCAATCCTGAGCCAACCTCATTGTCTCTGACACTCCTACCTCCATTACCTCAGTCACTGAGTCAATCCATCTCATAGAGGGTCTTCTTCTCCTGCACTGTCCCTCCACACTCCCAAGTATGATGTCCTTCTCCAAGGACTGGTCCCTACTTACAACATGCCCACATTATGTCAGACAGAGCTTCAGAATCCTTGCCTCCGAGGAGCAGCCTGGTTTCACCCTTTCCAGGATGAAATTGTTTGTTTTCCTATCTGTCCATGGTATATTTACTACTCTATTCCAGCACCATAGCTAAAAGGCATCAATTATCCTCCTGTCATCGTTAGACATTGTCCAGTTTATATACCTTATTTTGGCCTTTCCAGTGTCCTCCTAATTCTGTACGCAAGGAATATCCATGTATAGTTGAACAACTCCACTCATTGCCATTGTTGTTGTCTGCTTGGTACTGTTGAGTTGGAACTGAACCAGAGCTGACCCTCCAACAGGTTTTTGGAGACAGTAAATTGCATAGGAGATAGCCCGTTGTTCTCTTGAAGAGCAGCTGGTGGCTTCAAACAATGTGCCTTTGAGTTGGCAGTGCCATTGGTTCAGAACCAACTCATAGCTGACACTCCAGTGGATTGTCAGAGCCTGTAAATCACTCAGGAAGAGACTGACCATCTTTCTTCCATAGAACAGCTGGTGGTGGATTTGAACCACTTGCCTTTGAGTTGGAAGCCCAACTCCTTACCCAGTAAGCACCAGAGATTCATATAAATATGCTTTAGTTATCAAATGGTACCTTTCATCCATGTGAATCCAGGTACCTAATACATTATTGCATATTATTTCAAAGAAGTGGAACTGAGCAATATCAAGTTTAGAATTCGAGGTACTTCTAGGAACTATAATCCATTTAAAAATCTTTCCTTGACTGTTTAGGAATACACAATCCTTACAACATGTAACACTAATATTCAACTTTCAGACATTAGACTTTAAAAACCATTAATGTATAAAGTCTAAGATATGATGATAAGAGAGAACAAAGGAAATATGGTGTAAAAGATCTGGGGAAGGGGAGCTCTGGTGGCCTAGTGGCAAGAAGCTGCACTGCAATCTCAGAGGCGCACGGTTCAAATCCACCAGATGCTCTGCCGGGAAAAGGAGGGACAATCTCCTCCTGTAGCAGTCAGATCCGATTTGACGGTACACACACACACACACACACACACACACACACAAATAATAAAATAATAATAAAAATATTAAAAAAAAAGATCTGGGGAGAAACAAGAGATCGAATCCAAGCAGCAGATAAATCAGTCGATGCCAACTGACCCTTCTGGCAGGAACCAATGAAGTTCTATCAAAGGCTTGTCTCTGTACAGAGTACAGGTATTCTACTGAGTTCAATAAGTGTAACAAAATTAGGACTCAAAGGAGAAGGAGTGTCTGTTCTCCCCTCTCTCTCCAGAGTAGAACCATCTTCCTCTCTGGAGGGTATATCTTCCTTATTTAATAAAGCTTACTCTATGTATCTTTCTAACTTAATAAAAGTTTACTTTGTCTTTTAACTAGTCTTCTTTTTTTATTTTATTTTATTATTTTTGTGTGCGTGTACCGTCAAATCAGATCTGACTGGTACAGGAGGAGATTGCCCCTCCTTCCCCGGCAGAGCATCTGGTGGATTCGTTAACTAGTCTTCTGTATGTTCTTTCCTCCATTCAACTCCAGTATATATTCTGTCTAGATGGAGCTGGGCTAAGGCACCAGGTCCTGGGGAAATTTCAGTCCTCTAACATTAGGCCAGGGAAACGCTCAGATCTCTAATGTTAGGATCCAGGGAACTCTTTCTACTCTTAACAGAAGATACTCAGCTGTGGAGGAAAGGAGAAAAGTGGGCAGTAGCTAAGAGAGAATAGAAGGTCCAAAGAGTAAATTACCACGAGCCAATCCATTGATTCTGAGAGCAAATATATTATTCATAATTGGAAATGTGTGGCCTACCAATGTGTGGTTTGTACAGAGCATTGCAGGTGGAGACGTGGACCAAATGCAAGTAATAGCACAAGTGGGAAGTAGGTTGCTATTTCGGAGCTCATAACAGAAGCCTAGATCTCGTCACCTGTAGGGTAAAAACACAATAGATTTCCAGTCTGCAAAGATTAGTAGGAGGAAAGCAACTGGATTTGGTAAGATGAGAGAATGAAACTGCTTAGTCTTCTTTCCCAGTTTGGTGGGTGTTCAAGGAAGAGAACAATGAACAGGAAAATGTTGGAACGTGGGGTTTGAGTAGGCTGTGTTGGAACAGGTGTGGCAGCACTAAGCACTCCTGGGTTACATGAATCATGCGTAGTAATCCAGCATCAACCAACATACTTCCATAAGCATGTCTGTAACAGTTTTATTATGCTCGAAACCTCAGTGCCTAGATCTCTACAAAAGCAGAAGCAGATTCTTTCCTAAATACTGTACCTACAGCTCACAGCTCACATTCGCTTTGAGGCATGCTGACTGATCAGTGAGTCAATAAACTGTTAAACACCTGTTAGTTGAAGGGACAACCCTTCCCTACAAGATGCCTGTAAACACTGGCTCAAAGAACACATGCGTAAATGCCACGCAGCCGCAGTGATTATAATCACAGATGCACACGCTTGATCTCTCCAAGGTGCAGCTCGCTCCTCCCGGAGCATGCTCGCAACCGACAACCCTCCCACTTTCCTCCTACCAGCCTTGGCGGAAGCGGAAACGACGCTCGGATGTCCTGGTAGTCTCTCTGCCGGTGCGGAAGTCGAGCTGCTTTACGTTGTCTGGCGTTCTGTCACCATGGCTCTTGCTGTCTTGCGGGTCCTGGAACCCTTCCCAACCGAGACGCCTCCGTTGGCGGTGTTGCTGCCGCCTGGGGGTCCGTGGCCCGCAGCGGGAACGGGCCTGGTGCTGGCCCTGAGGCCTGCAGGGGAAGGTCCAGGGGGTCCGGCGTTGTTAGTGCCGGCCTTGGAGGGACCTGGGGAGGGAACCGAGGAGCAAGGCCCCGGGCCCCCGCAGCTGCTGGTTAGCCGAGCGCTGCTGCGGCTCCTGGCGCTGGACGCCGGGGCGAGGGTGCGGGCGCGGCCCGTGCGGCGGCCCCCGGCTCTCGGCTGGGCGCTCCTTGGCACTTCGCCGGGGCCCGGACTCGGCCCGCGAGTCGGGCCGCTACTGGTGAGACGCGGAGAGGCCTTGCCAGTCCCCGGGCCGCGAGTGCTGGAGACGCGGCCGGCATTGCAGGGGCTGCTGGGCCCGGGGACGCGGCTGGCAGTGACGGAGCTCCGCGGGCGGCCCAGGTTAGGCCCCGAAACTGGGAAGAGCGGCCCGCCCCCGCCTCCTCCCGTGGTGTCCTCCTTCGCGGCTCCGAGCGCCGCCCGCCAACTGCGGGGAGTGCTGGGAGGGACTGGCGACTCGATCGGGGTCAGCAAGAGGTGTCTCCGGGGCCTCGGCCTCTTCCAGGGCGAATGGGTCTGGCTGGCTCGAGCCGCAGAGCCTTCGGACTCCAGACCGCACTTGGCCAGGGTGCAGGTCCTGGAGCCTCGCTGGGACCTGTCGGAGAGGCTGGGACCTGGGGCTGGGCTGCTGGCAGAGTCTCTCGCTGACGGACTGGCTCTCGTGCCTGCCACTCTAGCTTTTAATCTCGGCTGTGACCCTCTGGAAGTGGGAGAGCTCAGAATTCAGGTAGGATCCAGTGACAAGGCCAGCAATGTTACCTTTTCCCTGTCTTTTCTAAGCCTCAGATGAATCGAAAGAGCCTATCGAATTAATCTCTGGCGACTTAGTGATAAGGAGTTGCATTGCCAACCCAAAGGCAGGCTGCTGGAAGCCACCAGCTGTACCACTGCATAAAGCTGGCCACTCTTCCTCCAGTGTAATTTACAGCCTCTGAAAACCCCATAGAGGGTCAACTGTGAGTTGATTATGACTCGATGACCCGTAACAACTCTAAGATCTTGAGCTTTTCAGTTAATATTTCAGAGCCTGCCTTATTCATTCTTTATAACGAGTATAATAAGTCTCCATCATATGGTGGTGCATGGAAAGGTGAGATTCACAGTAAAATAAAGCCATATGTGAATATTAATCCTAATCAACTGTTGGTCGGATTGCTGTGGTGAACACAATGTTACTAAAGGAGTCCAGCTGAACTGAAAGCTCTGTTTAGTCAGCAGTTGAGCACTTAACCACTGTTGACTGTTCAACTCACCCTGAAGCTCCTCAGGAGAGAGACCTGGCAGGCTCCGCCCATAAGACATGATAGCCTGGAAAACCTTACCGACCAGTTCTGTGCTGTCACATGGGGCCACAGTGAGCCAAAAATCAGCTCAATAGCACCCAACAGCCATCCACTATTATGCGGTGTAGTATAGAATATGATAATTCAGTGCCTTTGCTCATATTTTTCCTTGACATCAAATTCCTTCGAATATAGTACACACATTTTATACAAACCTATTAAAATCCTACTATCTTTCCCTTTAAGGACCATCTAAGGTTTATGCCACCTTCACAAAGCCTTTACTAATGCCCTTACCCCAAAGTTAACATGGATTTTTCTTCTGTGGCATTTTGTAATTTTCTAGTGCATTTCTTTTATTCTGCCTGGTTATGTTTATGTAATCTGCCTCATACGCTGATTATATATTGTAAATTCCAAACATAAAGAGGATCCTTATTTCTCTTTGCTACCTGGTATTTAATTTTGATATTCAATAAGACAAGATAAATATTTTACTTTAAAGGGAGCTCTGGCGGTATAGTCCTTAGCAAGTTGCACTGCTAACCCAAAGACTGAGACGTGGTTCAAATCCACCAGTAGCTCTTCAGGAGAAAAATGACAGTCTCTTTCAGAGCAGTTTATAGCCTCAGAAAACCAGTGGAGGGTTAGCTTAGAGTTGATTCTGAATTGATGGCAGTGAGTGAGTGAGTGAATACCTATAAAAATCTTTGAGAAGGTTTCTCCTCCATATTTCCTTTCAAGGAGCGAGGTCCTTCCCTTTGGGATGTAACTTCCT